AACAACAAGCAACAGATACTCGCCATTTGTATTCTATTCTGCTATAAAGAAAAGCAAAAATAAAACCAAATCCATTCCCTTTGAAGGATTTATAAAGAGCCTGTAGGGCGGAGTAGTACTGCCTCACAGGGCAGTAGTCTACATAATAAAGGATCATTTTCTTTCTTTTATGTTTACTTTTGAATGTTTACTTTAGGTGTAAACCAAGAATGTTTACTTTTGGTGTAACATAAATTTAATATATAACCCATTCCCAGCTTGGTGCCTGGCTCTTCATGGATACACAGGCACTCATAGATTAATTAAAGATGAAAAAATTTCAAAGGACTCACAAATGTGAATTTTAGAATAATTGCAATGTACCAGGCATTGGTAGGTGTTTGCATACAGTAATTTCTTCCTTCCAGTAACTTTATTTCCATTTTGCAAATGAGGAAACAGATTCTAAGAGCACATAGATCTTAAGAGCTTACTTATCCTAGCCAAGGTCACACTATTGACATTTGAACACCGGGTCTGACTCCATGATCTTTCTAGGTCTAGGTTTAAATTGTTACTCTCCTACTTACTGTGTGACCTTGGGCAAATTAATTAGCATCTCCATCCACACCTGCACTTCCTTGTCTGTTAAGCCCACCAAAGCTTCTGCCATTGAGTTAGTTTGGACTCATAACACACCTGTCTGATCTGCTATAAATCCCTATGGAAGCATCCTTTTCCTGAGGCCTGGCTGGTGGATTCTGAGCACTGTAACCACTGCATCACCAGGACTTCTACTCACTATTAAAACGGTAACAATCATACCTATCTTATAAGATTGCTCAAATAAATGGATTAGTGTGAAATTCTTTGAACAATAATTGGTGTATAGTAACTTCTATACACCACGCTGTCTTCCCAAAGTCTGCCGTAGCACTTCCTGTATAGTTACATTGGGTAACATAGGCAGAAGTTGACTTTTAAGGAAAAGTGAAGATTTGCCCTTAAGACTTATGAAATGAATGGGTAACATCTGGGAGTTGGGTGATTGGGAAGATTGTTCTGGGATTAAATGAACTTAATTGTCTCCTATGTTGTTAAATATCGAATTGGTTCTGACTCATAGCAACCCTGTATAGGGTTGTCTGACCTTATGGCTGAAACAGACCTTGTGGTCTAGTTTCCTGTATTTGGCCCTTATTTTATGTATTTGTTATGGATAGATGGACAGGCATATAAGAAATGAGATACATACAGAAGTTGGTGGGCAGCCCAAACGATTAAGCACTTGACTCCTAAACAGAAAGCATGGCAGTTTGAATGTACTCAGAGGTACCTCTGAAATAAGGTCCAGAGATCAACTTCGGAAAGCCAGTGAAACCCCTGTAGAGTGAAGATCTATACTGTGACTGAGAATCAGTGGCAACTGGCTATTGCTTATGGATAGACATTTATTATAGAGATATGGATATAAATCTATATCTATTCTTAAATTCTTTGTTTTGAAGATCTAGAGGCAGATTTCAAACAGAAGAGTTTTTCTAACTGGGTTGTTGTCAGGTGCCATCGAGTCGGAACCGACTCATCGCGACCCCATGCACAGCAGAACGAAACAATGTTCGATCCTGGGCCAACCTCACTACCGCTGCCACACTTGAGTCCATCAATGATGCCA